AACAACAACAACAACAACAACAAATCATGAAATTAAGTCAAAGATACAAAAATGTTTAAAACAAACTAGGTTTGGTCACTTCAAAACTTATTCATACCTGACTTATTCCATTACAAAAGTCCAGGCTGGTAGTTTGGCTCAATAGTAGAGCACTTACATAGCACATTCAAGCCCCTGGGATAGATCTCCTACCTCAAGGAGGACAGGAGAAAGAAGCTGTGAAGCAGCCAGTGGTGCTTGTGTGTAATGCAACCTACTTCAGAAGCAGAGGCAGGAGGATCACAAGTTCAAAGTCAGCCAGGGCAATACAGCAAGGCCCTGTCTCTAAATTAAAACAAATAAACAGACAAAAAAAGATATGGGGCTATAGCTCAATGGTAGAGCTAGCACACCCCTGGGCTCTGTCCTAAGAACTAGGGGGAGAGGGGAAGGGAAGCTATGAAGAACATTATAATATTCTACTTTTCTAAAGTGGACATCTTGACTAGTGAACAGACAATTGGATCTGAATATTTTAAAAATCCATTATACAATAAATACCAAAAGGAAAGCAAGGAAATGGGAAACATCTGTACAACATTTATAAATTTAAAAAGATACTAATCACAATATAAAGAGAAGTGATAGAAATATTTAGTTAGTATACTAAATCTTCCTCATAAGGCATCAAGTTAATACATTAATTCCTTAAATAAAATTTAAATTCTTTCCCATTGCCTGCAAGGCCCTACATAATCTCTTGCTTACTGTCTGATCTCACTTGTGCTTTTCTATCCCTGGTTCACCACTGACTGATTTTTTTTTCCATTTCAAGAACATGCTATGCATTTACCCTCAAAAATATGTTCTTCCGCATAAGCTGTTTATCTGTGTGGGAAGTTTCCTTTCTCACTCTTCAGGTGGTTAACTTTTCAATCTTTAAGTCTCAAATCTGCCCTACTTGACAACTTTACCTCACATGAATCCCTATAATGTTTTGTCTGGTACCTACTGTCTTTCCTACAGGCACTTACTACCGTCTATGTTTTATTTGCTTTTGTCAGTCTCCCTCATTAGACTATTAAATCACATAAGTCTCACTTATCCCATCTTCTCAGGGCCAACTACAGTGACAACAAATGTGCTCAGTATATTTCTTGAGTAAATACTGAAAACCCCAATATCAGGTAATATAGGAAAACTCTAAATGTGTTACATTAATCTTAAGAAATATTACACAACTATTCAAATAGACTGATATGGAGATAGTAAACACCTATGAAATGAGAAATGAAAGAAGTGGATCACAAAATAATATGCACATAGTAGTATTAAGTAAAAAAAGAAGTATAATACTCTTATGTAAACCATGTTTATAAGTTGGCCAAATTAAATATGAACTGAAAGAAGATAATTTAAAATACCTACTGCATCAAGGTGATAAAATAATGTATAAAATTTGTCTTTTAAATTTACTTTTGGCAGGGTGTGGAGGTGCATGCCTGTAATCCTAGCACTCACAAGGTTGAAGCAGGAGATCACTGAGAGTTTGAGGCGGCTACATCATGAGTTCAAGGTCAGCCTGAACTCAAAGCAAGACCCTTTCTTAAAAAACAAACAAAAAAACTCATTGCTTTTATTAGTCTTTTAAAATGTTTTATAATGGGAGATAGCAATTTAAAAAAAAAAAAATCCCTTCTCATCACTTAAAAAACAATGAATGAATAACATATTGAGCAAATAGCTTTAGTTCTCCTTTCTTCATATACAGAATCTGCCCCCCTAAAATGCATATATACTTCAGCTTTTCACCATAAAATAAATGTCTGGAAGTTAATGGTCACCATTTTGAGTACCTCTTGTAAATGTAGTGGCCAAAGATAACTTGTATTAATCTTATCATATCTCAATATATTTAGTT